CTTCGGTCCTTTCCAACTCTGATATTCTCTATTCTGGGCAGGGGGTCGGACTAGAAGACCTCCGAGATCCCCTCCAACTCCAGTAGCAAGGCAGAGATCCACACCCTCACCTCTCATTACCCACGCTTCGAAAGTCGGCATTCGCCCTGAAACTCCCTCCCTTCTCTCCTTCGCCAGGATTATGCCCGGGTTGAGCTTCAGCACCTGCAGCCAGCAACGCTTCCGAGAAATCTTCCAGAGCAACCAGGTGGGCTGCCTCCTGGACCAGCCTGAGCCGGCTCGTTTGGGGAAGTCCCGTTGCGGGAACCGCCTGGTAGAATCCGGAGAGGAGTGTGACTGCGGCCTCTTTTTGGTAAGAAAGGCTGAAAAAGCCACACAACCACTCCTTTTTTCTCCCCACTACCTTGAGCACAAAGTCCAGAAACGGTTTCTAAGTAGCAACAAAAACAAATTGCATTCTTTTCTTTAACCGAAGCCATCGATTTAGTCAAATAATAATAATAATAATAAATAATAATAATAAATAGTGATAGTGATAATAGTGATAATAGTGATAGTGATAATGATAATAGTAGTAGTTGTAGTTGTGGTTGTAGTTGTTGTTTGTTTGCTGTTGCTGTTTCTGTTGCTATTGCTATTGTACAAAAAACTACAGTGTACAAAGCAAACCAGATGACTATGCTGGGTTTCATATCCCAAATCACTAGTCGAACACTTCCCAAGCATTTAGGACTGCGTGATGTATCCGCGGATTATGCGAGCAGATCCCAGTAAGGTGGCCTTCTGCACCTGGCCAATGGTGATTTTGCCAGTGCCAATTGTTTTTAAGTGCTTGCCTAGGTATTATTATTATTATTATTATTATTATTATTATTATTCCCCTTTGGGGTGCGGTGGCCTAGAGGTGCAGCTCTCGTCTCCCAATCAGGAGGCTGTGAGTTTAATTCTAGGTGTAAGACAGATTTTTTTCTCTCTCTCTGGGCACAATGTGAATATATCTGCCAAACAAAACTCCACACTGGCGAAAGGAAGGGCATTCGGCCAGGAAACGCTCTTGCTAGCTCCATTCGGTTGTCCCCGACTGAATGGAGCAAGGGATTATGGGGTCGTTAAACAAAGATGGTGATGCTTTTAAAGGGATAAATTTATAACGAACACATCACGGTGGTAGTTATCCTACAAGATTTAAGTGGGTAAATTTTGAGGGGTGCAACGGCCTACAGGTGGAGCTCCGGCCTCCCAATCAGGAGGCTGCGAATTCGATCCTAAAGTAGAGGGCAGATATTTCTCTCTCTCTGCACAATGAGAATATATCTGCTGAACAAAACTCCGTATCGGCAACAGGAAGAGCATCCGGCCAGTAAACACTCAGCTCCATTCAGTTGCCCAGATTCCACCCCACAAGGGATTATGGGGTTGTTAAAAGAAGATTATTATTATGATTATTTCCCTTTTCCATTTTCTCCTTCCTTCCTTCTCCAGGAGTGCACAGATCCTTGTTGCAATGCAACCACCTGCCAATTAGTACCAGGAGCCCAGTGTGCCACCGGACAATCTTGCTGTCACCAGTGCAAGGTAAGGTATACCCCTCCCCAAAATGCAGGGGGAAACCCCTTCCTTTCGTCCTGAGCGCTCTTGCGATGCCAACCAGGATTTGGCCAGGAGCCCTTTTCGTTCCCCAATCCCAAAGAATCGTGGATTCTGTTCTTGTCCTCCTCGATCCTCAATTGTCATTTGAAATTCCCGGCTCTTTGCTCCACCTCGAGCGGCCCAAATTTTTAGTTGTTTATCCAAAGTGTAAAATTCGAAGGAAGATGAAAATAAGGGGGGAAAGGGAAGGAGGAAAAAGGGAAGAGGGAAAAGAAAGTGTGGAGTTCCGACTTCATTTAGCACAGGAGAATAAGGTAATAACGCACAACTTCAATTTTTATTTTTTTTTACTTTTGAAAAATAATATATCCCAGCCGTTTCTACAACCGCAAACCTCTCCAATCAGCAAAACCCAAAATTAAAGTTCGTAAGTCTCTAGCCGCATCTCTCAGAGTCAAAAAGATGGATTTATGAGGAGTTGACATGTCGGCGTTACCTGGGTGCACCAACTCTGAGACACATAATTCACTATCACCCTTTAACCTGGTCTTCCCCCACCCCCTGGATGTATATCAGGGATGGGATTCTCCCAGTTCACACCTATTCGCTAGAACCGGTTGTTAACATTCTAAGCAGTTCGGAGAACCGGTTGTTAGGAGAAATTCCTGGGCTAATCCTGTAAGGAAGGCGGGAAGGAAACATTCTGGTGTTGCTTACAGAAACTGCCTCTCCGTTAACCCTTATTCCATTCTTGTCAGGACTAGACTTCCTGTCTCAGGAACGCTGGAGGTTTTTTCCCCTCCTTTGCTGGTACTTTACTTGTGTGGACTGACCATTCAAAGTCACAATGGCACTGAAAAAAATGGTTTATGACCGTTTTTCACATTTACGACTGTTGCAGCATCCCCACAGTCATGAGAGGCCAGGAGAGGAGATGCATGCTTTGATGTGAGTGATGTTGAGTTGGCCACGCCCAGCCAATCACATGACCACCAAGCCTTGTCCACCCAGTCACATGACTACCAAGCCACACCCACCACCTAAGCCACGTCCACGGTTGTTGAAAATTTGAATCCCACCCCTGATGTATATTCTCCAATGAGACACATCCATAGCCAAGAGTCATCAATCTTGCTCTCCAGTAATAATCTTGCGTGCCAACAGCTTCGGCTGCCTAGCAATTATCTGAACCATTTAAGGAATGCACTGCTTTCCCTCCCACTCCCTTTCTGCTGGCAACTAATAAGACCAAAGGAGTGTTTTTAGTTGACAGCTGCTGTAAATTTGGATGGTCACTAAACAAACTGTTGTAAGTCAATGACTTACCTGTATTGGTAATTTCCCCTCCCCGCTTTCTGTTCCCCCTTGTGTAGCTACGCAGTGCTGGGCACACTTGCCGTCCAATCCAGAATGAATGTGACCTCCCCGAATTCTGCGACGGGACATCCCCACGCTGCCCTTCGAACACCTACAAGCAGGATGGCACCCTATGTGAAGGCGGCAAGGCGGTGTGCCACGGGGGCATCTGCCCCACGTACTTAAGTCAGTGCCAAGCCCGTTGGGGTCCCGGTAAGCTGAGGTTCGATTCCCTGGCATTGAATGCAGGCAGCCCCCAATGTACGACCGCAATTGGAAGCGGCATTGCCGTTGCCAAGCAAAGCGTTGGTTGAGCGAGTCGCGACTGATTTTTTAATTTTTTTTTTTGGCGACCTTTTTCGTCACGGCGCTGAAGCAAGTGGGGCAGTTCTTAAGTGAAAGACATGGTTGAGGTAGAAAAAGGCGGCCTGGGGACATTAAATATGTCCATGTTTGATTATAAAACCGCTGCTAGAACTCCCAGTCTCCTGGTGATTGGCACAAGACTGTCGCCGAATCAGTTTTCGTGCCTAAGTGGGACTAGAACTCCCAGTCTCCTGGTAATTGGCCCAAAGTCACCCAATCAGCTTTCATGCCTAATTTGGAACTAGAACTCCCAGTCTCCTGGTGATTGACCCAAAGTCACCCAATCAGCTTTCATGCCTAATTTGGAACTAGAACTCCCAGTCTCCTGGGGATTGAACCAAAGTCACCCAATCAGCGTTCCTGTCTAAGTTGGGACTAGAACTCACCCGCCCCCACTTTCTTAACTACTAGAACAAACTGGCTGTTTTGTTGGTTCTTTTATTTTCCCCAATTAACTGATGACACTTTATCCTTACCTTAGTTGATGTTTTACCCCCGTGAACTGCTCACCTGGTGATCCCTGTACCTGGATCACATTTATTGGCAGAAATGGCCTCTTTCTAAAATTTTATTATTATTATTTTTTTCCCCCAGACGCGGTTCCCGCGACAGAAGCCTGCGTGGCGTCTCTGAATCAGAGAGGAGATGCCCAGGGCAACTGTGGGCAGAATCCTGCCGGATCCTACGTCTCCTGCGCTAAGAGGCAAGTTCTGTCTTTCCTCCCCACAACTTCTGGGTTCTTTTTCACGGCACACCGTGAAAGTTATTTAAAAAAAAAAAAACCGTGGGAAAAAGAGTCCTGTCTCTCCCCACACAGCGACGTCCGGTGTGGGCAGCTGCAGTGCAAGAAAAAACGCAATGGAACGCTTAGGACCCTCAACTGCCTGCGTGATGCTCTGAAGGTTGTCGTGGCAACCGACGTTGTAGAGGAAGCCGGGACGTTATCCGGGACAAATTGTGGTCCTCATAAAGTGAGTGAGCCTCAGGATGGACTTTTCCGGCCCAGATTTTAGGGAGGGGGGGAGGGGTCAGAGAGAATCAGGGGTGGGATTCTACCAGTTTGCACCTATTCGCCACAACCGGTTGTTAACATCCTAAGCAGTTTGGAGAACCGGTTGTTAGAAGAAATTACTGGGCTAATCCTGTAAGGAAGGCGGGAAGGAAACATTCTGGTGTTGCTTACAGAAACTGCCTCTCCGTTAATTCCATTCTTGGCAGGACTAGACTTCCTGTCTCAGGAACTTCTCTGGAGTTTTTTCCCCTCCTTTGCTGGTACTTTGCTTGTGTGGAGTGACCATTCAAAGTTACAATGGCACTGAAAAAAAGTGACATGGCCGTTTTTCACACTTACGACTGTTGCAGCATCCCCACGGTCACGAGAGGCTAGGCAAGGAGATGCGTGCCTCAATGTGAGTGATGTTGAGTTGGCCACGCCCAGCCAATAACATGAACCGCAAGCCATGCCCACCCAGTCACATGACCACCAAGCCACGCCCACCAACTAAGCCACACCCACAGACCTGGTTGTTAAAAATTTTGAACCCCACCCCTGGAGAAAATTGCTTCCCTGCCTTAATAAAAGGCCAGTCGCGAAGTCCCCCGAATTACGACCCCCCATTGGAGCATTGGTCTCTAAGTGAAAACAGTGATTCCGTGAGCTTTTTTCTCTCTCGATTTTATGACCTTTTGTATGGCCGTTCAGCAAACCACACCGTCGTTAAACCAATCTGGCTCCCTCCCCCTCCCCTTGCCCTCAACGGTGATCTCATAGGATGCCGCCACCGTTGTAAACTTGTGCCGGGTGCCAAGCACCCGAATTTTTATCCTGTGATGGCCGCGGTCATCAGTGCGAGGTCATAACTTCACGCAGCCGTTAAATGAAGGGTCATCAGTGGAGAATGACCCACCGTTTTTGTTCCTAGGTTTGCATCGACCAGCGATGCCAGGAAGTTTCCTCCTTAAAATTCCCCGTGTGCCAGTGCAACGGACGTGGGGTAAGTCACATATATATTCCCCCCACCCACCCCCAAACTTTTCCCTTTCTCAAAAACTGGTTTTCCAACATCAGAAAACTCTCTGTCTTCTGCCTCCCTTCTCCTTCCGACCCCCCTTAGCAGCCTAGCGGTGGATCCCAGAAAGATAGGAGACCACTGGGAGATCCCACAGCCACCGGTTTACACACACACACACACACCCTCCCCACCCGTGCGAGATCTTCTCCGTTCCTCTCCCCTCTTCTCTCGGCTCGACCCTCTTTTTTAAAACTTGTCCTTTTCAACCCGCAGCTTTGTAACAACAGAGGGCACTGCCATTGCGAGCCCGGGTGGGCGCCCCCTGGCTGCCAGGCGGGCGGCCTTGGGGGCAGTGTGGACAGTGGGCCCCCAGCCCCGGGGGAAGGTAAGTCGAGGGAGCATGGGGGCGGTGCGTTGGCAATTACATCAACGCACGGATACACTTATACGAAGGAATGCAGGTTGCAAAAGCGTGCACACCTGGGTTGCAAATATGCACAGGTGACTCCTTTTTTTTGTTCAGTTCCAGCCACCTTTTTTGCGGCTTAGCAACCGG